CCGATCGCCTCGGTAGGAATAGATGCATCTATAGGCGCGCCGTCGACCCTCGGCAAGTGCACAGTTTATTTCTGTTGGATCGGGCCGTCGCCTCGGTATTATGTGCGCATGTTAATTGTGGAAAAGCCTATACATGCTTTATTTTGCCATTATCTCATATGATAAATTATAAACTTGATGTTGTAAAGTTCTTGACTTATACCACTTGCCATAAACTGTTGATACTTGTAAATTCCATGATTTGAATACGTCATACTTATATATATATATTAATTGACCTTAGTAAGTATCGAGTCGACCTCTCGTCTCTACTTCTTCGAGATTAGACGGGATACTTACTGGGTACATATTGTTTATGTACTCATGCTACACTTCTGTACTAGGATTTGAGGCAGGTGGATCCGGACATTACTCTGGTGCATATCAGTGAGCGCATCTGGGACTTCTACGGTGAGCTGCACTCCCTTCTTGCCGATCCGCAGCCGAAGAAGTCTTCCTTGTATTTTTTTTGTTGTTGTTTCTGTCTATCCTAATTCAGACAGTAGGATAGGGCATTATTCATTTTGTGTATATTATACTAGTTGCCCGTAGCTTGTGACACCAGGTTCTGGCACACACAGTAGTAGACTTTATTTTGGGTTGTATAACTGTCTTTACATTTTATTTATCTTTACTGGTTTATGACTTTAATTGGGGGGAAAATCTATTATAATAGTTTTTGGTAAGGGTAACATGAGAATTTAATTATACTTCCGGGTTGGCTGGCCTGACAAATGGTGTCGGGCGCCATCATGACCTATTATTGAAAATGGGTCGTGACAACATGGTATCAGAGCACTAGGTTCACGTAGGTCTCACAAGTTACGGGCAAGCCTAATAGAGTCTTGTAGATCGGTACGGAGACGTCCGTATTTATCTTCGAGGGGCTATAGGGTGTTAGGAAAGACTACACTTTATTCATTTTCCATCGTGCAGTAGTCAGTATACTAAATTTCCTCTTCTATTCTCTCACAGATGGTGAGGACTCGTACCGCCGACGTTCCGGACTCGGGAGGAGCTGCTCCCCCCGTTGCCAGAGGCCGAGGTAGAGGCCGGGGGAGGGCACCGGCCCGCGGTAGGGGACGAGGGCATCCCAGAGCTATTCCAGATGCACCACCAGCAGACCCTGCGAGGGATCCCACTACTGAGGAGCAGGGCGAGGCGCCCGCAGCTGTGCCTACTCCGGCAGATTTCATGACTGCGCCGGGATTTCAGGAGGTCATGGGTCGTATGCTCCGGTTCATGGACACCATGACTCAGGCTGGTTTATTTCCAGCAGACCCAGTTGTTTCGCAGGTAGGAGGGGGAGCACAGACCCCTACTGCTCAGGTTCCAGGTCATGTAGCCGTGGTATATCAAACTCCGGGTGCACTACCCGCAGAGGGGGTTCAGCCAGTTGCTGCAGAGGTACCCCAGCCAAGGCCGGCTGTGGAGTTCGATCCGTAGAAGTTACTAGACAGATGGACCAGACTTCACCCTCCAGTCTTCGGAGGTGAGCGTCATGAGGACGCTCAGGATTTCATCGACAGGTGCAGGGACAGACTGCACGCTATGAGGATATTGGAGTCGCATGGAGTCGACTTCACTACTTTTCAGCTTGAGGGCAGGACCCATAGATGGTGGCAGTCCTATGTTCTTGGTAGGCAG